AGGGTTGACATGTCATGGAGTTGTTAACCAATGTCATTAAACAATATGTGTACTGACTGTTTAATGAGAAACTATTTGTTCTGTAAACCTTCCCGTAAAGTACAATAAAAAAAAATTATTTGTATCAATAGTTTTAAGGGTGACCTTCAAGTATAATCAGTACAGTCCCCCTTAGGAATGTTTAGGAACAGTGTTTTTAAATGTCAACATGTTTTATTGCAACAATACAAAGCATATTTTTTTTTAATTAACTGATATCATGTTTAATTTTATTAGAAAGATTTTGAATACTTATTGTATTTAATTTGGAAAATACAAAAATGTATAAAGCAGAAAATAAACTTCATAATCTCACTACTCCGTGATAATCAAGACTTTATTTGAATTTCTTATTTCTGTATATGTATTGATTTTTACATAGTCAAGATCATGTTTTTTATACGTGTATTTATGTTCAAACTTTCTTTAGCTAATCATTTTGATTTTGTTGATCTTATTTTCTTTCATTATTCCTTATCTGCTTCCTTTTTTTTTTTTTTTTAGGTAATAGAAATTTATCATTGTTTTGGAGTGAATTTGGATACCAAAATAGCAAGGATGTGGAGAAGTCTTTAGATTCTGGTTGGTATCAAAGAAGACAAGTCATGGCTATCCCGTTCATCATCCAGTGTGGTTAGTGATGAATTCCATACTAATTAGCAAACATTTAGTGAGTTCCTAAATAGTAACTTAACACATGTCATTGTATTAAAATCAGCTAGGAGGTAGGGCTGCAAAGATGAGTAAGACATAGTTCTTGCTTTCAACGTGGTTACAGTCTACGGGAGAGGTTAAGATAAGCACAAAAATAATTGAAAGAGAAGGAAAAACAGGGTAAATGATATAAAAGGCATTAAGTTCTTTGAGGGTTCAAAGAAAGGGGGATGTTGAGGCAAGGCTTCAAGGCAGAGTTAGCCTTTGTAATGGTCTTTAAAATAGAATTTCAATAGGTGGAGACGTAGCATAGAGAATATTCTGGATGGAAAGCTGAGGCATCAAAGTGGAAATGTGGGTTACTGTAGCTAAATCTTTTGTAGTGAGGTAATAGAAACTGTTATCTTTCTATTTTTAATACCTGCTACTGTGTTTAGGAAACCTTGGTGGTGCAGTGATTAAGGTCTATGGCTGCTAACCAAAAGGCAGGCAGTTCAAATCCACCAGGCACTGCTTGGAAACTCTATGGAGCAGTTCTGCTCTGTCCTATAGGGTGGCTATGAGTCGGAATCGACCTGACGGCACTGGGTTTGTTTTTTTGGTTTACTATATTTAATACATAGTAGGAAGTTAGTAACTGACTCCTGAATGAATTGATAATAAATAAATAATAAAGACAAAAATGTTAGGTTGGGTAAATATGTTAGAGTGCCTTGAATGCCAGAGTAAGGAGTTTTTACTTTCACAAGCAGTGGGGAGGCATTGGAAGTTTTTGTTGAATCATTGACCACTGATACATCTTCTAGCAGCTATGCCAAGGGTTAAAGAATTAAAATGCAATTCCTACTATCCTCAAGGAATCTGCAATCCAGAGGAGAAGACAACTAAGCAAATAAACAAAAAAAAGTGCACTGTAGTGTATAAATGCTAGAGAACTATTTACACAGTGCTAGGGCAGTCCTTCCCCAACCCTGGGCCTAGGGTGGTTCAAGGAAGGCCTGACGTGGTCACATGTAACTTGTACTAAGTGTGCTCTAGATCAGTGAAGAAGGATTTGGAAGAGGGCTTGAGCAAAGGGAGGGATCAGACCTCCCAGGAGACTACCACTGTAATCCAGGATCCAGGTGAGGAATTGTGAATTAGGGCATGGGGACTACCACTGTAATCCAGGACCAGGTGAGGAATTGTGAATTAGGACATGGGGACTACCACTGTAATCCAGGACCCAGGTGAAGAACTGTGAATGTCTGAATTAGGGCATGGCAGTAAGAGTTTAGAGGAACATTCCTGACATATTTAGAAGGGATAATGGAAGGAATTGATGACAGTATGTGACAACATTTGGGATGATGATAATAGCTAACAACTACTCTGTGTTTTTGATATTAGAATCCAACCTCCAGTACCTGAGACCTTTATGAAGTGGGCAAATTACTTAACTCTCTAAGCCTCAGTGTCCTCATTTCTAAAATGAGGTTATCACTTGTAGCTACATTATATAGTTTTGTGAGAATAAAATTAATGAATAAGTGTAAAATTTACAAAGTGCTTAGGATACTGCCTAGCGATGTTGGTTTTTGTCATCATCATCATTAGTGTTAATTTTATGTCATTTAATCCTCATAGTAACGTTTTGACGTTAAGTACATTAACCAGTTGCCATCGACACGATCCCAACTCATGGTGACCCCACATATGTCAGAGTAGAACTATGCTCCATAGGGTTTTTAATGGATGATTTTTTGGAAATAGATAAGTAGGCCTGTCTTCTGAGGCACCTCCAGGTGGACTCAAACCTCCAACCTTTCTGTTAGCAGCCGAGTGTGTTAACCATTTCTACCACTCAGGGATTCCTAAGCTCTATTATTCATCTCTTTTTACAGATGATGATATTGAAATGGAAACCCTAGTGGTGTAGTGGTTAAGAGCTTTGGCTGCTAACCAAAACATCAGCAGTTTGAATCCACCAGGCGCTCCTTGGAAATCCTATGGGCAGTTCTACTCTGTCCTATAGGGTTGCTGTGAGTTAGAATCGACTCGATGGCAGTGGGTTTGGTTTTGGTTTTGATATTGAAACAGAGAAGTAATTTGTCCAAGATGATAGTTGTTTTAAGTGGTAGAGCTGAGATTCAAAGTCAAAATTGATGGAATCCCAAGTTCAGGTTCTTAACCACTGTGGTAAATTGCCTCCGTCTTGAATGGGGGAGTGTCTGGAGGAAACCCAGGATTAAAGTTAAGAAGTATAGCCTGGAGAGAGTAGCATGTTTTGCTCCTAAAGGAAAGGGCAGGTTCAAAGGAGGAAATGGACCAAGAATTCAGAAACTGTAGGCTGAAGAGTGGAATAAGAGCAGAAAACAGTACAGCACAAGGAAGAGTCTAAATGGTTCAGAGACCTTGATTTTCCTTTTTATGATAGTTATGTGGTTGGAGACAAAAAGTGGTGTCAGCAGATGGATAATAGATTTAGAGAAAATGGGAGATTCAAGTCACTGGAGGTCTTAATGTGGCTGAGGAGGTAGAGTGGGATCTGGTAGTTAAGGTTCTTTTGCCTGAAAGTAACAGAAACCAACTGAAGGGAACTTCACCTCTAATAGTTGTATCATCAGGCATGTAATAGTATGTAATCAAGGCCTCACGTGTCTGGACCCAGAGATACCCTTATACTCTTGGTATACACAAACTGATGCCTTAATGTGATGGATTCATCCCTAATTGTGGCCTCTTTTGTGTGTAATTTTGTTTTGATTACCAGATCTTTGCCTCAAGTGGAGAGTCTTGCCTTCCTCTACTGATTATGAGGGAAAAGAATTTCTTGGCATTTGGATTTGTGCTGATAATCCTAACCCCCTGGAAAACAGGTAGATTTGATACTTTTCTGAAATCCTTTATCCACTAGAAAATATCAACTATAAAAAGATTTTAGCTTAGGAGCTGCCATCTCTTCAAATATGTGCTAGCCCTTTGCCACTTGTGGAAAGATATTTCATTAGTGTGTTTTTCCAACAAGATGAAAGAGACCTAGATGTCATTGTCTGTGGACACTGGGTTATGAAAGCTATGCCCATGAAAGCTATGCACTTTGCTGGTGGAAGATCACGACCTGGTGTTCAGGAGTCACCCCTTCCAGTTCATGTTCACACAGCATGTGACCCTACTGTACAGGAGTGTTACACCAAGGCTGTCTCCAGGGACATTAAGCTGTTCGACCATGTGCTTTTTCCATTTAAGTCATATATTGATTTCACTGCTTTGTGTTCTTGGAGGAAGAAGTTCAGTCTAAAACAGGAAAAAGACCAATTAAATATTGATGGATCTCAACATTATTACTAGCTCTTTGAACTAACGTTTTTTCCCTAGGGGAAAATGATTTAATACTCCCCTTTAACAAAGGCAGCCCTAAGTCAAGCAGAGCTTTTCCATGGAGATCATGCTAAGTCTTTCTGCCTGGATAAGAGGATCAATATAGCTAACACAGACATTAGGGCAGTAATTCCTGTTTTGTTATTTTTATCCAGCCCTGAGAAAAAGCAGAAAAAAATGTAAGAATATATTAAGAAATTGCTGCTGAAACCCCTTCCATTTGTAGTTCCAGGTTAATTATCTTTAGAGACTGAAGAAAAAATGTCAGAGGTTGAAGGGTGCTAAGATTTCACATGGCCCAGGGTTTTTTTTAACTCTTCCCCCCTTTGCTTTGTTTTCAGCAGAACCCATTTTTTTGTTTTCAAATAAAATTTGTCTCAGAATCCAGGTAAATAAAATAGGTAAGTGCAGAACTGTCCTGGTTGAATTGGACTCTGGAAACCTGGGGACCAAAGGTACTCACTTCCTGTTTCTGTTCCCTACTCTGCAAAAAGCCTCGCCCTCCATGGAGCACGATAAAAAAATACTCATTTAGTCTGACATCTTCATTTTAAAGAAGAGAGAATTAAAGCCCAAACAGGGGTTAAGAAACTTGTTTAGGAAGCCATGAGCTGAGGTCTTCTGACTACTAAACTGATTCTGGCCTAACTTGAAACTGTTGTTAATAATACTTATCATGCGCTATGAGCTAAGAACTTTTCACACAGTGTGTAGGATATAGTGTTCAGAGTTCAGACTGGGGCCAGATGTCTGGGTTTGACTCCTGACTCCACCAGCTGTGAAACCTCGAACAAATGATAAGACCTTTCTTTAATTCAACTCTTTGTCTGTAGATGGGGTATAATAATAACTTCGATGCATCTTTTCTGGGTCCAGCTGATCCTCTTGTAAAGACAATCTGCTGAAATTCCATGGTCACTGGGGCCCCTCAGTAACAAGCAACCAGACTTTTAGGGCACTCTCCACAGATTTAACTATATACCTATGATTTCGTAGACTAGTCTTGGGCATTGTCAGACCCACAGAACTGGGAAGCAGTCCATGACAGCTTCCCTTATCTTCAACTCACTACTGTCCCTTTCTTATCCTTGTCTCTTTGAAAGGTGGTGATGCCATCACAGAGCATCGCCCAAATAGCTTCAGAGCTGCCTTACTCTGTCTCCTTTACACATCAGAATGGGGCCACTTGTGATGAGAGACAAGATAATTTTAGCCTTGTTGACAGGAAACTGATAGACTTTAAAAGCCTACAATGCAAAGTCTTCTTATAATTTGCTTAAATCTTTGGTTCTTTAAATACACTACCATACTACTGGCCATCTGTATTTCATTTCCGCTGAAAAGATTATAAGGAGAAATAAGCTTAAAATGGTAGCAAGAGATTTGGGTGAGATATAAAGAAACACTTCTGATTACAAGAGCAGTTAATCAAGCATTGGCACTTCCTTTACCGGAAATTATCGACAGTGACGTAGATAACTCCCAGCAGAAGAGAAATGGATCTGGTGACCTTGATCTGTCCTCTGATTCAGCATGGTGGGATGGGCAGTGCATACGTTGAAAATATGCCTTGAAATAGGTTATTGTTAGGCAGAACTGATACACACATGTGCTATTGGGTTTGAATAGAATCACATGAAATGAGTGGGTTAAAGTGATCAGAAGGGAAGTATAGTTCTTTATTAAGCAACATTCCATAAGCAGAGGGACAAAAATGGGTAAAAAGTACCACTGCTATATTTCAGTAAAATATGGTTTACTATTAGCAGGGTTAATGGCAATAAACAGCATTTGAATGAACCATGTCTATGTAAGTGGACCTTGGGCAGGAAACATAGTAGCTTTCTCATATGTAGCAATTACACCATAGTCCTAAGAACTTTCTCAAAGGAGAAAACAGAGTCTAAGACAGGTTCAGTGACTTGTCCAAGCTTCCTTGTTAGAGTTGAAACTTAAAGCTAAGTGTTTTGTTACAATACCTATACTCCTTTTGCTTTACCAATTCACTTCTTTGAAGGCATCCTTTTATATTTCAGGAGAGTCTAATTCTATCCAAATACCTTTTTTGTGACAAAAATACATCTTTTTATGAAACTTCTCTTCTCCTTTAAAGAGATGGTGGTAGTATTCAGGGTCAGTGACCTAGAGGAAAATGGAAGCCATTCTTTTTAAATCACTAAAGCTTCTTTTTGTTTTCTACTTCAAACACAGGGAAACTATACATTTTTTTTGTCACAGTACCTAAGAAATTGGCACAAATCTGGATCTCTTCCAGTTGGTTGGTCAGGTAGCTGTCTTCCAAATTTCTTGGCATAGACGAGTGAGCACTTCCAGCACTGCATCTGTTTGTTGAAACATCTCAATTGGTATTTCATCAATTCCTGGAGCCTTGTTTTTTGCCAACGCCTTCAGTGCAGCTTGGACTTCTTCCTTCAGTACCATCAGTTCTTGATCATATGCTACCTCCTGAAATGGTTAAACATCAACCAATTTTTTTTGGTATAGTGACTCTGTGTATTCCTTCCATCTTCTTTTGATGCTTCCTGCATCATTTGGTATCTTGCCCATAGAATCCTTAAATATTGCAACTCAAGGCTTGAATTTTTTCTTCAGTTCTTTCAGCCTGAGAAATGCTGAACAACCTCTTCCCCTTTGGTTTGCTAACTCCAGGTCTTTGCACGTTTCATTATAACACTAGTTTGTCTTCTGGAGCCACCCTTTGAAATCTTCTGTTCAGCTCTTTTACTTCATCATTTCTTCTATTTGTTTAGCTGCTCTGCATTCAAGAGCAAGTTTCAGTCTTTTCTGACATCCATTGTGTTATTTTCTTTCTTTCCTGTCTTTTTAATAACCTTTTGCTTTCTTCATGTGGAATGTCCATGATGTCATCCCACACATCTGGTCCTGGTAATTAACGTTCATTGCCTCAAATTTATTCTTGAGATGGTCTCTAAATTCAGGTGGAATATACTCAAGGTTGTGTTTTGGCTCTTGTGGACTTGTTTCAGTTTTCTACGGCTTCAACTTGAACTTTCGTATGAGCAATTGATAGTCTGTTCCACAGTTGACCCCTGGCCTTGTTCTAACTGATGATATTGAGCTTCTCCATCATCTCTTTCCACAGATTAGTTGATTTGATTCCTGTGTATCTAACAACATCATTAATATCACATGCAAGTAAAATTTTGCTGAAGATAATTCAAAAGTGGTTGCAGCAGTACATTGACAGGGAACTGCCAGAAATTCAGGCCAGATTCAGAATAGGATGTGGAACAGGAGATAGCATTGCTGATGTCAGATGGATCTTGGCTGAAAGCAGAGAATACCAGAAAGATGTTTACCTGTGTTTTATTGACTATGCAAAAGCATTCGACTGTGTAGATCACAACAAATTATGGATAACATTGTGAGGAATGGTAATTCCTGAACACTTAATTGTGCTCATGAGGAACTTGTACGTAGACCAAGAGGCAGTCCTTCAAACAGAGCAAGGGGATACTATGTATTTAAAATCAGGAAAGGTGTACATCAGGGTTGTACCCTTTCACCGTTTTTATTCAGTCTCTGTGCTGAGCAGATACTCTGAGAAGCTGGACTATATGAAGAGGAACACAGCATCAAGGATTGGAGGAAGACTCATTAACAACTTGTGTTATGTAGATGACACAGCCTTGCTTGCTGAAGGTGAAGAGGACTTGAAGCACTTACTGATGAAGATCAAAGACTACAGCCTTTCAGTATGATTACACCTCAACATAAAGAAAAGAAAAATCTTCACAACTGGACCAATAAGCAACATCACGACAAACAGAGAAAATATTGAAGTTGTCAAGGATTTCATTTTACTTGGATCCACAGTCAATGCCCATGGAAGCAGCAGTCAAGAAATCAAATGACATATTGCAATGGGCAAATCTGCAAATTACTTCTTTACTGTGTTCAAATCAAAGATATCACTTTGAAGACTAAGGTGTGCCTGATCGAAACCATGGTATTTTTGATTGTCTGATATGCATGTGAAAGCTGGACAATGAATAAGAAAGATGGAAAAGAACTTATTCCTTTGAATTATGGGGTTGACAGAGTTTGAATATACCATGGACTTGTAGAAGAATGAACAAATCTGTCTTAGAAGAAGTACAGCCAGAATGCTCCTTAGACACGAGGATGGCCAGACTTCATCTCACTTACTTTGGACATGTTATCAGGAGGGACCAGTCCCTGGAGAAGGACAACATGCTTGGTGCATTTAAAATAGGGTAAAAATGACACTTTATCACTTGACTGAACCAAAAACTGAATTTTGAAAAAGGTGTTAAAAAATGGCTACAGTTTGCCATGATATTAAAATTTAATACATTTTCAAGTCTTAAACGAAGACAATTGAATGGATTGAGTTTTAATAAAATGCTTCAGGTTTCTCTTTTCTGAATAAAGTGTTAATGTTACCTCACGATTCTTTTCTGAAATGAAACAGAAGCCTCTCTAGGTGCCACCCAACGGATGTCTTCAAATCAGCCCTGTCGATGGCTGTATATATGTAGTAGTTTTTCCCTGGGTTTGTTTATTTAGAATCTTTCTATGAAAACAACAGTATAACAAACACTGTATGTGGGTGGAATTAAGTGTTTTTTCACAGTAGCTCCTGAATTTGATTGTAGGTATTCACTCTTTTCTATTGGTTAGAAGCAAGAAAATATATTCTGCAGCCCTGAAAAACAGAAAAATAGTGGGTTTGATCTGCTTCAATTTTCCCTCTCTGTTTCAGATGAGAGAAGGCCCTTTCTATTCTTAACTTCCTCCTCCCCGTCTTAGCCTAACACACATTTATTTTCTGTAAACTTTGTCCCTTCTTGTTCTTTCTAGTAGCTGAGTAGAACCTCCCCTTGCCTATCAATAATACCAAACCTTTCATGCTAGAGCAGAGTCCCCGGATGGTGTAAATTGTTATCGTGTTCAGCTGATATCCAAAAGGTTGAAGGTTTGAGCCCACCCAGAGGCACTTCAGAAAAAAGGCCTGGTGAACTACTTCCAAAAAAATCATCCATTGAAAACCCTGTGGAGCACAGTCTCTGACAAACACGGGGTTGCCATGAGTCAGGGTCAGGTTGATGGCAAATGGTGGTGGTAGTGGCATTCTAGAGCAGCCTCTGAAAATGGACCTCAGCAATTTCGCCTCACTGCCTTGCGTTGCCAACCGTGCCCTGAACCAAAGCTGTGTCCACTTCTTCTCCATGTAAAGCTTCCAGACCAAGGTGAACAATTCATTATTTCACTTTTTCAACAGTTTGGCTAACTCTGCTCCCCAGAATGTAGCCATGAGACTGAAAGGAAAAAGGAAAAACAAAGAGGACTCAAACCATCTAGACTATGTCACAAAATTCATTACTGTTTTTTGTAACCAGGGATGCCTGTATGCATAGCCTGTTCAATGTTTGTTCATATACAATTCTACATGATTATTTAATACATTTATTAACCTGCTAGTGATTAGAAACAGCATATCACTGAGGCTGGAAGCTGAGTGACTGCTAAAAGCAGATGTGCTGAGAGCTTCCGGGAGCTTGGGAAGGATGTGGCAGTCCTGGTGTGTGAGGCTATTTAATGAAGATGCTCTGTGGCCACTGGGTGTTATTGCCCCAAATCATCATAGTTACCCATCTTCACAGTGATTCTGAGTCATCATACAAAGGATCCATGTTGTCAGCACGTTCTATTTTAGAGGCAGAATTATTTGATGTATTTTAGAGAGACATATAGATATCTTATGGCAACTCTGTGTGTACAGAGCAGAACTGCACTCTGTAGGGTTTCAAGGCTGTGGCCTTTTGGAAGCAAATCACCAGTCTTACTTCTGAGGCACTGCTGGGTGGGTTTGAACTGCCAGCCTTTCAGTTGGTAGTCCAGCGCTTAACCATTTGCAAGCTGGAATCAACTCAGCGTCAACTAACAACAACAATTTAGATTTCTACCCCAAATTTTTATGAAAAAATATTTGGCACTTAATGAAGTAAGGCCTTTTTGCAAAAGGCCGCATTTCATAATACAGTTTAAATGAAGCGTTAGCAAAATAACTTACACTCTTTCACCCTCATAAGTAAATGCTACCCTACACATTTTCCATTAGACTCTTCTCCATGCAAACTGGAGATTTAAGGCCAATGTATTACCTAAAGTCATCCATACAGTGCTCTTCCTTTGTGTTTCAATTTTGGTTATAAGACATAAAGAGTAACTCCTTGTACAAGTAAATCATCTTTTACAGACAGTAAAGTGTTATATTTCCTCCTGACATTCTATCTTGTACTTTCTGATTGTGAAGTTGTCATCAGATGGAACAGCTACCTTCCATCCCCCTGGGTACCATGAGCACAGCATTACCATCAAAGAATGAAAAAGAGAAGCAACTTAGAGAGCTGGTCCATAGGTATCAAAATAAGCTTACAGACCAGCAGTTGCAGGTGAGTTGTTATTAATTCTTTCCAAAATCTACCCTGACTCTTGAGCTGTTGGTTTCATGTATGCATACTGACTAATGTTGTTTACCCAAGTAAAATGTGTAACATCTTCTTTCCATCTTTTAAATTTTTGACATAAGGACTGTTCTAGAGGTAAGGACAAGTACTCCATGGATACAGAGACGGGAGAAGAATTCTTTAAAAAACACTGTACGTGTGTGTGGTGGTGAATCACCTTACCGAAAATAAGTTGGCCATTTTTCCTTTGTTCTTGAGAGACAACCCTTGGGAATTTCCTGAGTAATCAAGGTGCCTATGTTATCTAAAACTTCCAGATTACACTTGAGGATTTGTGCAAATGATAGGGGCTAGCCAGGCCAGAAAGACCACCTGGTTAGCTAACCTCAGGAAGAGAGAGGGTCATGATTTAATTAACCATGCATATTGACTGCAGTGAGGCCAAATAAAGGCTCTAGACATGGAAGTTCCATGGGCTTCCTGGTTGGTGAAAGACATCTGTGCACTGGAGAGAGCTGCACATTCCCTAGGAACATTGAAGTGTCGTGCTGGCAAACCTCCCAGACCTTGCCCTATGTGTCTCTTTGTTTGTATTCTTTCTGGTTATAATAAATAGTTACCAGTAAGTATGGAGTACTCTCTGAAGTCTGTGAGTAGTCCCAGTGAATTATTGAACCAAAAGGGGGCAGTAGGAGACAGCAGGTTGTATGGTGGGGTATTGTGGCTGGCACCCTGAAGAAGTAGTGGGAAATCAGCCCCAAATTTGTGGCCAACAGGCAGAGGTTGGGTGTCAGAAGGACTCCTCTAGTTTGCAGCTGGTGTATGCCTATTTGGCAGTCTGAAGGACTATGTCCTTTTAACTTTTGAGCTCTGTCCCAGCTCCAGGTGGCCAAAGTTAGATGCCCTGCATAGGTAGTGTATCTGAAGGATAATGTCATTTAACTTGTGCTCTCTAACCCAGCCCTGGGTGGCTAGGGTCAGAGAGAGAGTGCCACTTGGGCACCTGGAGATGAGGATGGAGAACTGTGAAGTGAGGACTGGATCCATTTCCAGGTTGGGGTTGAACTCATGTTGATCCTTGCTATACAGTTAGTAACGAAGGTGGGATTTACTTCCTCAGGCCCTTGCTTAACACAGTGTGATAGCTACACAACACTGAATGTGAGGAATAGAGAAATCTATCTCCACTCTACAGATGGACATGTAGTTTCCTAGATGTTAGCCAGTCCAAGGTCACTCAGCCAAGATGGGAATCAGGTCTATAGAACCCCAAATGTTAGGCTCTATTTATTTCATTAGGCTTCTTCTCTGAGGGTGGATTTTTTGGTTAATGAGTTGTTCTTTTAAAAAATATTAGCCTATTAATACATAAGCTCCACATCATATTTAATTGTAAGAAAATTGAATAAATAAAACATTACTGCCGTAAACATAGGTAACCATGACAATCTCAAGTGAAAGAAAAAGTGGCATGAAGAAATACTGTTTTAATTTCTTAACTAATAAAGCAGTTATATCTGTTTACTACATAGATTTAGCACCCAAATTCAGCATTTTTAATTGTGTAGGCTGTCAGCTTCCTCAAATAGCACTTTAGGAGGTCAGCAGCATATGTCTGAATGTGTTGATACCTCTCTTGATGTTAGAAAATTAAATGCTTATTCAAATTAGAAAATTATCTTATGCAGCAGAAGTTCAGACTCCTGGCTTTAACATCGTATTTATTACACATATTCTTGGGTTCTTAGCAGATAAAGTTCCTTCTCTACCCTGGTTTCACCTTTTTACCTCTGTCCACCTTGCTAGGGATCTGTACTCAGGTCTACCATCTCCTGCAACCACAATCAAAGAAACCTGCCCTTCCCTTTTAGCTTGGAGTTTCAGGGTCTCTCTGACAGGAACTTTGGAAACACCGTTGTCCTAAGGAGTCCCCATCCCCAAAAAGAAGCTTAGTTTTCTATAATTCTTAAAGTTTAATAACAGAGGTCAAAATTAAAGGTAATTTAAATCATAATAGTTAAGAGCTTGGCTGCTAACCAAAAGGTCGGCAGTTCAAATCCACCAGCTGCTCCTTAGAAACCCTATGGGGCAGTTCTGCTCTGTCCTATAGGGTTTCTATGAGTTGATACCGACTCGCCAGCACCTAACAACAACAAATCAAAATCAGAACCAGTGGTTATTTTAATAAATAAACGATTAGGTAAAGTCATATCTTTCTAATGGGGAATATTTTGTTTTCTGTCTTTTTTTTTTTTTTAAACCGCTTTTTGCTGCTTTGTGAAGGAATTCAGCACATCCTGAATTGATTTTATCTTTATTGCCTTCTCTGGATTTTTTTTCCTCTAGAGGTCAGATCTGAGCCCTGGTTATTAATGGTGCCAGTCATGAGTCTTTGTTAGCAGGTTGTATGTTGAGGATTGAATGCATTATTCATCATTGAGGTGGAGATTTTGATGCAGCTTATGGAGTAACAGATTTGAGCCAGTTCTAGTTATTGTTTCTTTCTTGGTAGTTGATTTTTCATAAAAATTTAAGCCAAGTTTATAGATTCATTTGGTTACAAATATAAACAATGTCATTTAACAGTACTTACATAGGAATCTACTTCCCTCAATTCAAATGACATAAGAATCCTCACCATCCTTCCCTGTCCCCTTTTGTGAAAATGATTCTAGCATCTTTAACATACTCTGCAGTACTCAGTGCTCTTAACTGACCCTGTTGGTTGAGTTTCAACCAACCATGGACAACCAGTTAATTTTGAGATGTTCATTGAGCATATACTTGCCCTTGTAGCTGTTATACTACGAAGAAGATACAGAGTAACTCTAATACCAGAATGTAAGCCCCATGAGGGACTGTTTACTATGAATCTGCATTAGATAAAACAGTGCCTGGCACATAGATAGGTACTTACAGGTAGTTGTAGGAGGGCAGTGGTGGTTTCAGTGGTAGAATTCTTGCCTTTTATTCAGAAGACCCGGGTTTGATTCCCAGCCACTATACCTCATGCGCAGCAACCACCCATCTGACAGTGGAGGCTTGTGTGTTGCTGTGATGCTGAAAAGATTTCAGTGACGCTTCCAGACTGAGATAGACTAGGAAGAAAGACCTGGTGATCTACTTATGAAAATCAGCCAATGAAAACCCTATGGATCACAGTGGTCTGATGCCATTGTACATGGGGTTGTCATGAGTTGAGGATGACTTGGCAGCTAACAACAGTAGCAACAACAATATAGATCACTGTTCAATCAATAAATAATACATGACCTCAGATAATATACAGTCTTGTGGAAAAAAAGTCTTAATAGCTATTTAAAATTGGCAACAACTATAAAACAGTATGGAGCCCTGGTGGTTAAGAGTTACAGCTGCTAACCAAAAGGTCAGCAGTTTGAATCCACCAGCCACCCCTTGGAAACCCTACAGTGCAGTTCTACTTTCTCCTGTAGGCTCGCTATGAGTCGGAATCAACTCGATGGCAATGAGTTTGGGTTTTTTGTTTTTTTTTAATGTGTAAGACAATATTAATTCATACTTAATTGATCGAACTGAAACTGCAATAGAAGTTCGTTGACAAGGAGAGAGTGAGGGTAACGCCAGTCAAAAAAAGATTCATAGAGGAAGTGGACTTAAGCTGGTCTTGATGTCCGTTTAAGGTAAACAGAGGGAAAGGGACAGGGCAGTGTGCGTGAGAACAGTATAAACGGAGACCATGAGACAAGCACTGACTTGTTCCTTCATGGAACTGACCTTTTAAATTCAATGCTAACCTTATGGATTTAAAAATATAAACTCAATATTTGTGTGGCCTAGTTGTCTTTTAAAAACTGTGCTACTCATTATAAAATATTATAATTGCTGAATACAAAAATTCTGAGATGTGTCATAAATTCCCCTTTTCAAAAATAACCCACGGAAGTGTTCAAAAACTGCGTTTTGGTGCTGTTTGCCTGGTGCTAGAAACAAGACTCAAAAGCACCCAGTGGTCAGTGTGAATTTACTGTCCTCCTGGCTGCCTTTTAGAAGAAGTGCTATTAGAATGTGACACAGGTATAGTATCTACACTGCTTCTGTATGGCGTCTACCCTACACTCACACACCCTGCTGCTGTGTAATGAAAGACAACCTAACTTCTAAAGGCACCACCCACCAAAAAAAAGAAAAAGCCAAACCCACTGCCATTGAGTCGATTCCAACTCATAGGACAGAGTAGGATTTCCATAGTGTTTCCCAGGAGCTCCTGGTGGATTCAAACTGCCAAACTTTTCGTTAGCAGCCAAACTCTTAACCAGTATGCCACCAGGGTTTCCACTATCCACAGGATGGCCTATTAAAGAAAACCCACAGTCGGGCAGAACAGAGTGCTGCTAGAGACAGAGCCAGACCATTAGATCTTGTCCTCTAGGATAGACAGAAGCAGTGATGTCCGGAGCGATCATCTCCAGAAGTAGCATGTTGTTTAATCCTCAGAGCATTCCAGCTGCATACATCCATTTAAACAAAAGAGGGAAATGATTTTCAGAGAAGTTAAATAACTTGGTTCAAGTCACATCACGCAACTTTAAATTGTGAAGTTGGAATTTGTTGCCTTTTTGCCTAATGCCAGCATCATCATGCTCACAGTCCGAAAGGACTAATCAGACAAAAAGGACATAAAACTATTTACAAAGGCCGCAAACTGATAAATTGCAAACTGTGTGTGTTAAGGGAAATACCTAACAAGAAAGCTCTAATTCAAGATTTGTTACCCCCAGTGCGTTTTATAGAGTAAAACATTTGTCCTCTGTCCCCCCTCCCCTGTGCCAAAAAGCCGAGTCCCTCTGTATAAAGTGTGCTTCACTAAGGGCCCATTCTACTCTTTCTCTTTTCTAAAGAGCTGAATGAATAATCTGTTGCTAACTCCATGTTTCTGCCTCACTCGTGACCTGCTATTTTCTATACCTTGTGACAAGTGCCACCTGCTGGCCAAACTGGGAAGC